TGTCATTATTTTCAAGAACGATTTTTCAAGGATTCCGCTTATCTTGACACCCTTTTGACGTAAATGTAGGAATTAACATTGGTGTCGATTCGGGCATGATGCTCTAAATCTAAACTTAAATTTGACAACAGTGTATCCTTGTCATTCTCTTTAGACAGTGAGAAGCAGAGACTGATGTTAAATTTAGTTTTAAGTTGAGAGAATCATGCCAATATTGACACCATTGGGATATTAAAATTAACAGTACAGTTTTTCGGAATCAAACTTCTTTTCTTTTATATGTAATTTATACTGTTACTTTAACATTACATCAATTTCGTAGTACGATCGTGTCCACTCTCATATCCTGGACTGTACAAATAGTCGTAGGACTTTCCTTGTTAGGTATATGTGATGGAGCCACTGGTAACGGAAATTGAGTTTTAATAACATTAAGTAAATAAATAAAACGAAAAATCAGTCACACGCGCATTTCGTACTATGGATAACACCTACTAAATAACGAACACAAGGTACAAAGCATTAAATAACTATAAAAATATGGCTATGCTCGTCGTACAAACTTTTATATGCGTTTACTAGATTTTGTACTCAGGGGTGATGACGGGGTACAGTAAACGAAATTCTATTTAGTCCGTCAGTTAGATGATCAAAAAATAATGTACACATATTTTTTCTTTGGGCAATCAACCAAAAAATGACAATGTTATAGCGCGTCAAAGTTTGGGAGTAAGGGCTCGTGACGTCACTTTTAAGTGAAAATTGTACCAAAACGTGACGTCATGCGACTTTCCAAATCAATATATCTCTGCAATATTTATATTATGTGAAAAAAGTAAAAATACGTGTCCAATACTTTTTGATAATCTACCTGATAAACGAAAAAAAAAATTAGTCATCATCGCTATTATATTCGTACCATTAGTTGATAGGAAGAGTGATTTGATTCGAGCGAGTTTCCTATATGATGATGTCTAGTGATCGTAAATATTACTTATGTTTTGATATCATTTACAATGATAAGTAATATTTACGATCACCAGATGCGATCGCATTAAGATTCAATGAAGTCACAATGGTAAAATTGCTGCCCTGGAAACAAATCGTTGTTAAAAAAATATATAAAATCGCGCAAATTGGATTAAGGCAAAAACAAATTTCTATGGTATAGGTAATTCAAGTTTTCATTAATTTATGGAAATAATAAATCATTTAACGAGTGTCCTATTAATAAATCTAAATAGGTAGTTAATAAGTAATAGTTACGTCCGTCGACTTCATTTGATAAAAAACTCATAATTAAAAACCGCACTTAACCGGAAATGGGTCAAAAATTACTATTTATATGAAATAAACCTTTGAGAGAATTTTATCAAATAAAATACGTAAACTTTTTACTAATGCTGATACTGAAATATAAGTCTGCATTGATATTTTTGCAATAACGATACGAACCTCATATCCATTTCCCTAACAATTTTAGCCTTTGCTTCAAAATATTAAAAAACACTCCATAGCTCCCGAAATTAAATTTTTAACCCTACATTATATGTTTGAACGCGTCATTTATTGCTACGTACACTTGAAATCTGTAAATATTATTTACAATTCAGTTTCAGTCGAATTTAACAATTTTGACAAACTTTAAAACTGTAAATGCCTCACATGCTGTACCTTAAAAATATGAATAAAAAATTATAGTCATTTCTTTTAAATAATAATAATGACTCCAGTAATAATACGACAGTCAACTGAAATACAATTTCAGGAATAAGTATATTGCAAATAAAGAAATTATCATAAACTTTCACTATTAGTAGGAACCAATATAATTATGATTTCAAATAAAATTTTATTTTATGGACACGACACATAGTATAACATATAGATAAAGAGCCGTAAAATGATACGTAGAAGTACACAACTTCTAACATTGTTATATCAATTTTAAGTAGAACATCTAATGTGGTGGTTACACGATTAATATTAATTAACATATCACTCCGATTAACTCTTAAAGCTACAAACTTGATTCTACATGCGACACGCATAGGATCTAAGGCCCGTATTACAGAATGACAACCAAGTGTTGATCTTTACTTGTGTACAGTTAGAAAGGGATATCGCTATGTGCTATATATAGCGACATCCCTTTCTAACTATGCTAAAGACTAGATCAATCACTAAGTATCTTTCTGTAATACGGGCCTAGGATGCTGTCTAGAATCATAGTGAGAGACCGATCGCCAGTTCGTAGCTGGCACACGAAATTAGAAAATCACAGTGGAAACTTTCCCATCTTACTTTAAAGATCTTTCATCTCATTTGTTTCTTAGGTTTTCACGCATATCACTCATTAAATAAAACAAGTTTCAAAGGGTTCCATTATTCTGATCGATATATCGGAGATTATTCTGACGACGCATTCCTGCAAAGGCTGCGAAACGTCAATAAATTAAGACCCCGCGTTATCTCCAGGAATGTTTTAATTTCCTTCACAATTCTAACACGTTATCCCTTAGGACATCAGAAAGTCTTACTCTCATGACTCCTGTACACGCTACAACATTTTATAACCGTTCGTTTGCAGTGCGAGCGGTACATTTGTGGTATTCTGTCCCAGTTACCATACGACGTGCAGAATCTATCCACGCTTTTAAAAACCTCGTAAAGTCCCATTATTTGTCCATATAACTTTTAATGTTAATCTTACTTGTGACTACTACTAACTGAACTAGATTTGTTTATTTATGTGTATGTATGTATTTATTTAATATGTATTTATATTTATGTATGTATATAATTGTTTATATTATTACCTATATCACTCAAGTGATTTACGCCGCCGTCTCTCCTACTTCCTTCTAGTCCTCTCCATCCAAAGGTTGTCTGGAAGAGATCGCTCTAAGCGATAAGGCCGCCCATTGTTACACTAGCTTTAATTGGTAATGTACTAAATTTAATGTCATCTGTGGTGTACAATAAAGTGTTTTGTATTGTATTGTAAATAAATAAAATCAGTGCATCTAATCCGTTGAAACTTATTTTATTTATCTTTCATCTTTATTTATACAGTATTTTCAGCTCTAAAACTGGCGAGATGTAGCTTGGAACGGCTTAACATGCCTTCTTATTCTAATGTAAATAAGACAGGTATATGGAACTTTTCGATCGAATCAAAGCGCCCGTCTGGGGAAGTAACCTCGACCTTACAGGAGACCACCTTTTGACGGTGTCGTATTTCTGTCGGTGTCGATGGTTTCACGGGGGTCGGGGTTTAGGTCAGGGTAGGCAGCGGCAAGATTTATATTTGTTGTATCGCAAGCGTCTACAGGCTATGGGACCGCTTACCATCACAGAAGAGCTAACATATATATGGTGACCCATCGTATAAACTGTCAACGAAAGTTGCTTAAATGATCGAATATCGAACGCGCTAACCATAGCGTCAAGAAGTGTGGGAGTGAGAGTCAAATTCATATTAATACATGTAATAACCTAAAAGTGGCGTATCTTTCATGATATGCCATGCCATCAAGCAAAAAACGTCACATTTTCCAGTCTATAGTAAATAATACTTATTATAAAAAAGAGAGATGATCTTCCCAATCAATACACCAATAGTAAAAACACTAAAATTTAAAACTCAATAAATAACATAAAATTAAGCACATTATAAAAAAAATCAATCCCTATTGCATAATGGAATAAGGCGGCTGTTTGTAAGAGAAATATTATAAGTACTAAAATAATTGTGTGTGTCTGTCTATTGATAGATTAATAATAAAGGTCATCAATTTATTAACATTCCAATAAAACTGTTTAGTCATAATGGCTAAGAACTATAAGGAATGATCAATTGAAATATCAGCAAACTTCTAAATTACGTTTAAATAACCCGAAGGCCCATTAGAACCCAGAGATAAGAGATCAGTAAAGCAATGAGGATAATGCTATGTTTTGCAACCATGACGTGTTTTGTATGCAAACAGATTTGATAAAGCAGCAAACTGGCGCCAATGTATCCTGTATAGATAATGGTAATGATTACATCATACCTTATTCATACACTATTTACATATTGTTTTTATTATTTGTTTAAGTTTGTATAAATAAAGATAACTTTCATTTATTGCTTTGTGTATTCGGAATTTCTTTTCAGCACTTAATTTTTGTTTGAATGTATAATAATAAATCAGAATATTTTAGTATCAATAGGTTAAAATCTTAAAGTTACCACAAATAAGTGAGACACCGTTTAAAACCATGTTTATGCAAATTTTGGATGACATTTACTTTTTGATGTCATGTCTAATGCCCAACTAATACTTTTTGGAAAACTTTATGAAATAAGATTCAAATATGTATTAGTTTGAAATAGAAATATGCAAAATACTGTAGGATAAAAAGAAGTATGATTATCTAATTTGTATGCAGATTCAATACCACAATTATCAAAGAAATGTGGATATAAACAAAATTAACAATTATTTAGGTACCTACTGGCTGTTCATATACTTACTAAAAATATTTATCACCTGTCATATAAGTAGGTAACATAACAGAAATGTACTATTTAAGTACTAAGATGCAACTTGTGTTACAACTTGTTGTCAATTTTGATTAGTTACAAAATGGTCAATATATATACTGGAAGTACTAAGCAACTTATTTTAAGTGAAGAGAAACCAGCCTCTTCTTTATTTTTCTATAACTCGCGTCAACAAGGAAAGAATTTGAAAATAACAAAGTGAGACGGAATATCTTGTCAATATTTTCTATTCTTATCTTCATTGACATGAGTTGTACTACTTAAAATGAACATGTTAAAAAAAAAGTTATGTTAAAAAAAAAACTATTCCTAAGCAAATGCTTTACATGACTTATTTAATGTAAGTTTCCAATAACTTGATTGATAGTCTTCTATTAACAAGTAAGAGAAATACTTCAACATACAACCTATAATTGGCATTTTCTCATCACTGATGAAAATATATATATATATATATATATATATATATATTCACAGTAACAATAACAAGACCTTTACCTCTCACTGTCCAATGACTTCATGAAATTATAAAATAGATTTGTTACCATTACCAGACCAGTTGATTAGGGGATCAGTGTTTGAGTCTTCTATGTCTAATAAAAGGTTGTCTCTCTCATTATCTTCAGATACTAATCTCGGTCCATTTACCACTTCTTCGTCGTTTACTTGAAGGTTTACATATGACAAAGATTTTTTCTTCTGTTCTAAATCAAATATTTCTAAATCATCATCCTCATCTTCATCAGAATCCATGGTTAGAGGCACACGAGATAACTCCATGTTGTCTCTTCTATCTTCGGATTGTAGCACTCCATAGCGGAATTGATTAGCATCAATAGCATTATGAGTGTTGTTCAGATCATTTTTCTTGCCCTTTCTCCTGAAAAGTTTAAGAGAATACATAAGTTCAACATATTTTCATTGTTTTTAAGCATTTAACTGCTAGATGTTTAAATCTAATGAAAATGTTTACTAGCAAAAATCCGTGTTGAAAAGGAATCAAAGACTCCTGTGGACTGTAGAAATATAATTGTCAATAAGCAGAGAAACTAAAGCAAACAAAATCAAAAAGAATATAAAAAACGCTATGGAGCATGAAACCTACATGGTTCTGCAACACATGTGGGCCAGGCAGTGGATAGTGGAGGGTACAGGTTCGGGTCCCATCTGCTGCCTGAACCGTGTGGATTTTGTTTTATTATTTTTTTATTGTAGATAAAAATGACAAATATTCAGAGCAGACTGATTTATGAAGCAAACATATTATGGCAAATCATACTGCAGACATGACTCATAGTTATAAAATAGAACCAGAACTGTAAACACTTGTTTTGACTGCAGATACAAGTTTATATGCAATTTTGTAATACTTAAAAAAATTACCTATAGAAAATAAAATATGCAGCAGCTAACAATGCAAATCCGCCAAATACAATGACCCCACGTTTCACGACTCCCGGACCACTCAAATCAACTTTGTCTATAGATTCTGCTACAGTCACATTTACTTTTGTTACATTCGCTTTAAGTGGAGCTGTAGCTGTTTCTGTCCCATTTTTACTTACATTCCCTGAAAAAAGTCAAATAAATATTCATATTGAACAGTTAAAGAATGAGCAACTCCAAACTAAATAACCAATAAACAGGAGGAATACTCATATCATGATATTGTAAGCTTGATTTTATTGAAAATATTAATTTCAGCTTACCATGTAGCATTGCAATGATTATCTTCATCTATAAGTTTAAGGTTTTAGTTCTTTGTTGATTTAAACAAAACATTATTTAGCAGTTTTATGATTTCTGCTAAAACTCTTATTGGAATCTAGTACATATGCATCACATACCTTTTGGAGTGACTGTCACATTGTTCTCTTCTTGAGTTTTATTGCTAGATGAAGTAATACTTTTACTTAACGTTTGCGTTGTAAGGTTCGCTCGATCGACTGGCTGTTGCTCAACTTTTGGCGATACAGCAGGTGCACCAGCTGCCACTGGCCGTGTCTGCGGTGTCTGCACTATAGTACCACCACCTTCGCTCTGACCAACTTGCTCCGCCTCCCGTTTCCTTATCTTCATCATACGCGCCGCATTATGAATCGATGGCCAATATGAATAGGACAAACTCCCATCGAACTGTTTACTATTAGCCAACCCATTGTCGTTCAAATATCCAGTTCTCACTGAGCTCAGAAACACCAACAACAAACTACAACGAAACAACATTGTACAGGTTCTAAGCTAAATTTAGCAACTCTGAAACCACACATATAAATGGTAATTAAATAACAATTCAAAACTAATTTATTATTTAGATTTAGCTAGGTATAGTTAAATTTTCGAAGTAATATTTCGCAGTGAGCGATGACAAATCTGTCCACTGTCACTGTCAAATGCTAAATGTCAATGTCAAATTACCTTTTTGAACTTTAATTTTTATGGGAAGGCAAAGAGAACAATGCCCGTAAAGCCTTATCTTTAGTTTTATTATTTTAGTAGATAAAACATTTTAATTTCTAATTTTATTATATAACATATTTGAAGAATTGTTTTATATGTATTCTGTTTATTGTTTTTTATGTAAGCTCAATATTAAAAATAAATAAAAATGCAGCGAAATATCAAAATAGAGATAAACTTATTTTAATTATGAAAAACCTTTTAATCGACTTCAAATACCTAATTTACAAAATAATACCAAAAACCAGAATGACTAAAAACAACAATCCAAAAACCATACATTTTATATAAAGCTTTCAGCATTTTGCCATTAATAATTCCTATTTTTGCCATTCAGTTTTATTTATTTTTTTACTTAAGGGAGCTTGCCTGTAAGATCTTGATGGTTTTTTTTTATGTTATAGAGGGCATACGAGCAGACGGCTCACCTGATGGTAAGTGATCACCATCGCCCATGGACACTTGCAACACCAGGAGTATCACAAATACGATGCCGGCCTTTAAGGATGGAGTACGCTCTTTTTTGAATGTTACTACGCACGCCGTCGGTTCGCAAATCTGCACCAGGAGGCCTTTGTATTGAGTAACCCAGCAAAAAAACTCAGCAATGGATATTTTTCCCCCTGTTTCATATAAAGAATCCCCAAGTGAAAAATTATTTCAATATGAGATGATTTATGACGTCACCTTTTTTATGTTGTGTCTTAAGTACAGTATAAATTATACAAAATAATAGTATTAATCAGCTATAACTAGATAACACTTCAATAGTTAAGTAGTTATTTTAGTTATTGAGCAGACTCATCAAATCCAATCAATAGATCTTTATTCAAATTGGATCTATATTACCTACAACTCTTTTCAATCGTCCACAAATGTTTTTCTCTACCATTCGTTTTTGGACATAATTTTTTAGCTGCGCAGAAAAACGAGCAAAAAAAAACTCCACTACATTAAAAGAATAATGTAACAACATTTGCAAATCATTATGTTACAACGTCAATCCAATCATGATGTATATCATATAGAGTTGGAATTTTTGTTGGAATGATTGGAACAGTACCCTTAGCACAAATCATTATCGAATTCAAATACATGTAGTTTGCGTATTATATGATAGGACTAAGTTCGACAACTATCGCCTACAATCTGTCAAAGATTTTTGAAAGGCTGGTTCACAATAGTATATATCCATCTTTATATAGTATTATCATATAACAGCAACACGGTTTCGGAAAACGCAGAATAACAAGTACAAATCTTACGATTAATTGATCACATATTTTTGAGAGTATTGACGCTAATAAACAAGTAGACTGTGTGTATACTGATTTTCGAAAGGCCTTTGACAGGGTCGATCATCAAATACTTCTAGAAAAGCTGGCTTACAATGGCATCCGTGGAGACCTCTGGAGATGGTTTATATCCTACATTAGTAATCGCACCCAGAAAGTCGTGATTGGTGGATATGAATCGAATTATGTGCAAATAACCTCAGATGGGCCGCACGGCTCCATTCTAGGTCCACTACTATTTGTTTTGTTTGTAAATGATATACATAACTATTACCAGTTTTGTAGTTATCTTCTCTACGCAGATGATCTGAAAATTTACTATTGTATATAATTGAAAACCCCGACGATCACCTTAGGTTTCAAACGGATCTAGATAAATTAGCTGACTACTGCAATGAAAACCAAGTGGATTTAAGTATTACTAAGTGCAAATCCATCACATTTACCAAAAAAAGTAAACATAGTCAGTGCAATTATACCGTATGGTATGTAGCTTGAATCGGTTCAGTCTATAAGAGACCTTGGAATATTGTTGGATTCCAAATTACATCTAGATATACATATTTATAATATTTTAAGCAATGCATCGAGGATGTACGGAAGTATAATGCGTATTAGTAAAGATTTCACAAAGATCTCGAGTTATTTGTGTTTATACAAGTCTTTGATACGATCACAGCTGGAGTATTCTGTACCCAATTTGGAACCCTTAAACAATAAATATATTGTGGCATTCTTAAGGGTTCAGGATTTACGTTGTATGCACTTTAAATGCTTTCGGGGTTACCTAAACTACGACCAACTTCTCGATACTTACAAACTACTTAGTGTTAAAGATAGATACACGTATGTTAGTGCAATAATGCTGTATAATTTATGTAATAAGAGATATGATTGTATAACCTTAGTTAATATATTATGTTATAAAGTACCCACCCGAACTCATACTCGCACGCCTTGTCGGTTATTTGCAACACCTCGATATCGAAATAACGCAGGTAAACGATTCCCCAATCATAGTTTGGTAAAATCTTACCAGATGTTTCATTCAATAGACATGGCGGCAATTCGTTTAAGTACTTTTAAAAAGATGGTATTTTCCAAACTTAGAGCATAAAAATAATATTTTTAACTGATGATGACTTACATTATGGTTTTTATTTATCAAGATACTTGTAAATACCATTATATTTCTGAATTTCATCAAACTTAATTAGTTTCGTTGTTGATCAACATTATTTAGCTATACTTAGATTATCAACACACTGAACGCTGTTTTAGTATGTATTTTATATTTTAGTGGTAAACGGTGCTGGTTTCAAAGTTATTTTTCTAATTACCAATATTGAATTCTTATGTACTTACATTGTAACAGTTTGTTTACCCAAATAAATAGAAAAAAAAACAGCAGCGCACAGGTGCATTCGGTACAGCGGGTCCTAAACTACGCTACATTTTTTTAAATTGGAATGGAATGTTTATAATTAATTATATGAAGGAAGTCATTGTGTTATAATACAAGCCTAAGAACAAAAACTGTAGTCTGAACTGCAGCTCTACAGCGAAGCGAGGGCGGACTAATAGTAAGTAAATAAAACGACTATAATCACATTTATGTATTATTTGATTTATTCAAATAGACATTTACATATATTAATCATATACTTTAAAGTAGAATTTCCAAATTTTAATTTTTGGTATCTCTATATAACAGTGATCGAATATCCACAATTATTATGATGATAATATTAACCTAATGTAATAAACATCGGTACATATTGTTCCAAACATTAAGGTACACAGTAAATATCACCTACAAAATTGAACAAGTTAGAAATAGTATAAGGGTTATCAAAGAGCTTACGAGTTATTTTATTCTTAGTTACTGTTGTTTATAATATCGGCAGTGATAAAACAAGCCACATACGCTGGTTGCTTCTGTTATGCTAAAAACTCTTTAATTCGATTGTTAGCAAAATTTTACGTCGTTTATAAACATTGAGATTCTCAGTTATCTGTAATCATCTAAGTAAGTATCTTATAATCTGCATTAATAATAAATCACTGTTATGATTATTTTTAACGTTAAAATATAAACCAGTCAAAAACTAAATTACTACATTCACTCAAAATCTCACGATGTAAGCACACCTTACTCTCATAATCCTAGAGCAATAAGTTACGAATCTGCCTTAAACTTTAATATACAAAATTAATAAATATGCATTAAATAATTGAAATATGAACTATTTTATACAAAAACCTACTCAACACCGAAATGATATCACATCGCGTTTCATCGAGATGTTTCATGAAGACATTGATTTAAAACAACCTCAAATTACAAAAATACATTGCACATAAAGTGTTTAAGGGTACAGATCTGGTGTTAGATATATTATTATTCTAAGCAAAATCTCGACCATGACCATACAAAATGATCTAGAATATGAACTACTTCCAATATTCTTATGGCATAAGTAAATACTTAACAGTTTACATCACTACGATGCGATGTAATGTAGAGTAGTAAGTTTATCCTATAATATCTCTCGAATTACTTAAAAAAAATATCAAATGTGCAATGTTCAAAAAATTATAATATCATTATGGCCCCCTTGCAATGAAATGTATTCAACAGAAATACCCAATTATCGTCCTCGTTTAATAAGCATTTTCCTGTAGCCAAGCATCAACATTTTATCTTTCATGATTTATAATTTAAGTACATTTAATCAAAATGTATTCTCTGACACGATAAATTCTACGTTCTTAAGATTAGTATATTATTTAAACTTATTCGTTATCTCTACTGCTTATCTCAAAATGTTGGCTAATAAATCTTCTGAAACTTTAAATATAGCATTAACTTTATCATTTATTAGTCTAAAAATATGTTTACGACTTTTAAATAGATACGCAAAATCTATTCACTCCCGAACGATATATATTAAACATTTATCAATGCAAACAAATAAACTTCTAATACGCCCTGATTCACTTACAAAACAGATTCGTCAAATCTATATCCATTTTAAAGTAATATAATTTCTGATATTACTTAATGATATAAAATAATGCGCTCTTTTCCTCTCCTCCTTTCAATTATAGTCCAAATAAATGTAAAATATTGTCAAATTTTAATTAAGCCTTAACCCTAAAACCATGGCACATAAATATTCTAACAGAGGAGGGAACCTTTCACAACTGGGTATTATTTTCTATTATCTTGTTTCGAAAATCGTTTTAAAATTCTCTCATTATAATAAATATAAAGTACATAAGTATAGAAATCCGAAATATGAGCAATTCTGTTTACGTATAAATATTAAAGAAAAGTAGATGAAAAAATATGTATGTTTGGTCACGTTAGTCTCCATTTGTCAGTCTTCCAAGAAACCTAGATTATACGAAACAGTAAAAGTATTATATGGAATGTGAAAAGAAACAATAGTATGAAAAAACATCAGAGAAAAATTATAACCAACATAATGATGATCTGCGGGATTGATCCAGTTAGGTATATCGTCACTTGTGTTACTTCGGGGATAGCGAAATGTTATGTTCTAAAATTGTTTTTTACATCGCTAAATTCGTCACACGAGCCTACTCTAACACTGGAACAGCGAGATGATTCGTTACTAGCAACTTTTTAATTTCTAACTACAGTATTGCTGTCCCGTTTTAGGACGAAATTGGTAGTGCTCCTCATTGGTCAACAAAGGACGAAGTCGAAGTTGACGGTGGGATTCGTGATTCTGTAATTCCCATTGAGCGTTCACTCCAGGCGCGCTTTGTAGGTTGTCTTCCAGATTTCAGCTAGAGTGACAGCAGAGTGGAAGCGATGGAAAATGCAAAGTGGGAGAGTGAAACGCTGGACGAGAGACCAAGCGACGAATCCGTAGAAGTCCAGTTGTACCTGAAAACATAGTTATGATTCAGTAGATTGTTTATTATGGAAACAACAGATATCTTCCTAATCAGAGCCGGAAAAAAGATAAAATATTTATTATAATAATATAAATATTTAAAAAAACAGAAGTTCCTGGTCCACGGGTTATAGAATGGGGTTAGGATAGGCAACAGCGCAAGTGATGCTCTAATAAAAAAGCTTCTATAGACTATGGCAGCCTCTTACCACATCAGGCTTGTATACCCTATTCACTTAAATTAAGTTACCCTGAGTGAAAAATGAGATGTAAATGACTGACTATTTTTTTTTATTCGACACACACCAATTAGCCTAACCCCAAAGTAATCACTGTAGGTTTGGTGTTATGGAATACTAAGGTAACACATAGAATACATATGCTGATACATTTATAAATATATTTATAAAGAAACACATATTAAACATCCCTAACTGAAGAAAAAAAAGCTCGTATTCATTACACAAATATCTGCCCCCACTGGGATTTGGACTATTATTTTAAGGAATTAAAACTATTAAATTATTAAACAATATCAATAAAATATTAGATCGTTGGATGGTATGACCATCCATTACAACGATCGGTGACCGAATGTGCTATTCACTGGGGCTTCGAGTACCACTGCATTTCGTTACAGCTAACAAAATCTAATATTTTATGTGTCCAAAAATTTACCATCTTGAGTTTATGTACTATTATACGTGAACCTACGTATTCCAGATTGCTTTTGGCCCCAGGTGCGGCCACAGTCGTTACTGCCCTGCAATAGCATTAGACCCGCTTAATGGGATATAGCTCAGTCTCCCTATTCCATCCATTGGGAAAACCTGTGCCCCAGTAGGAAGCATTTATAGACTAATAACGATGATGAGAGGAATGTTGGACACTCACGGGATTGGCCAGAACCTTCTGCACCTCGAAGGTGTAGATGAGCCACATGGTGACGTTGCAGATGAGCAGGAAGGTGACGGCCTGGCGGGCGGGCTTGCTACGTTCCTGTTCCGGAAGATGCACGCGGCGTCGAGAAACGTCTGCTATGAATAGCAGCTGCAGTATCACCTGAAAGAGATAAATGTCAACATTGATTTTTATAGTTTGAAAGTTTAGAAATAAACATTTAAAATTTTAGAAAAAAAAACTTCGACTATCCAATCCACAGCAGAGCTGAAATGGTTACATCTAAGTAGTATTTATTTTCAACAAAATAAATAGAAACTGAGTTCATAGTCATATGAATTTAGGAGAATGTTTACATTTATTTCATACGTTTACGTTTACGGTTCATATATACCTACTTCGGATAGTGGGCTTTCTTTATTCGTGTTCAGTTTTAATGAAGCGTTTGATAATTATGTAAGAACGACTAGTCTTTTGTTATAGAAGTTGTAAATCGTTATCTAATCAAGAACAGGGTTCTCGTAAATGCAAAGGACTTTATGACAAAGTGTTATTATCGTATATTAGGTTCTTACCTGAAAGACGCTCAAGCATCCAGTAATCATGACGAGCAAGTTTGGCTCATGAGTAAACGCGCCCATTCCTCCAGCGATGACGCTGAACACAGCGTACACGAACAATCCAAACGCAGATACACGAAGCAAGATGTCGTTCAGATCCGATTGCTCTTCAGAACGGAACTTCAGTGATTGCACCCTGCGAAGAGGCTCGGTACAGGAGGGAGGGCTAGAGCTCCATTTTAATTTACGACCACTAACCGCCGAGAACAACCAAAAATGGTAACAGATTTAAAAATGCAAATGAAAAGAAATTGGAATGTTTTAAGGAGCAGTGTGAATTTTATCAGATGGTTTGTGCAGATAGAGCACGGACATGAGTGTGGTGGAGCCGATGGGAATAAAGGTGTACGGGATATTATGGAAATAAGAAGAAAGGAGTAACAAAAATAACCAAATGTAGAAAGAAATAAAACAACACAAGAGGAATCAAACATACTAAGAATAACAGTAACTATAAACAAAATGTCTACAAGGCCAGATAAATGAAGTATTACATTATCTACACGTAAACACAATAAAGGTGACTCTATAGAATATCATTAGGTTTATTGTAAATTTAACTTCTTCTTCTATCTAAAGTGAAATAAAACGCCAAAATGTACGTACACGTAAATACATAACTTTCGAAAGACTGCAACAGATTGGAAAACTCTTTCTTCGTTGTATTCTTTATTGTATGGACAAAGTTTTTATTAAACTTCATCAGAAATAAAAGTAAGGTTTCTGATGTGATTATAATAAAACTTCAACGCTACTCAATTTCTCATTAATATAATACACCCGTGTTAAGCCAGTTTATATAAATCATGGAATTTCGTTAATAAATTTTAACTTACCGTATGAAACCAATTAGGATCGCGAAAATCGATAGCACCATCAGAGCACAATGAGACACGTCTGCCAGGTAAATCGAGAGGCGTTTCAGCTCTTGGTGTCTTATCAGAACGAAGAAGAGGATCAAGCAGATCAGTGAAGCCACCAGTAGTAGGAGTCCACAAAACAGTCCTTTGGAAGCGCCGGCACAGTCAACTCTATTGCCTCGTTGAGCAGCCGCTAATGCTGCAGCCCTGCGGGAGAGAACAGCCTCCAAACGTCTTTCCAGATCTTCATCGTTGGCAACACTGCAACCAAACGCGTTCTTATAATATCAGTCTCATTGACTATCTCTCAAATTTGATGATTATATATCTCTAAACATGCTTTGTTTTGTAAAAAAAATCTACTCTGTGCAAAGTGATATTTAGTCAGGATCAGCGGGTGGTTGCATTTTAGTGAGGTATTACAGGAAGACATGTATTTTTTTACTAAGCTATATTACGTTTATGCGTGCAATCATAATAATGTTGTAGAATATTTACCTAGGATAGCGACCGATGTGCTTCCACATAACGTAGATAACTGCGGCACCAATGAGAGAATACTCGATAATGAATGGATATAAATAAGGTGCTGAGTCAGATACGATGGTACCCATAATTGGATTTCGGCCACACACAGTGGTATTATCAATATTGGCAATCAATGCAGCCGGGTTCAGGTTATCGAAGGACTCGAAAATTTCTGTTGAATTGTTAGCTGGAAAGATATTTTAAAGCATTATTTTTTGTGGGCGTACATCAAATAATTAATTAAAAATAGTGCGAATTTATATTCTATTAATAATTAATAGCTTAAAACTAAACATGCAGAAACCTACAAAAATAAGATCATTAGAAAATGGGCGGTGGGTGCAGTAAAATCCTAACGACGATTCTATGAAATCATAAAACACTTATTATAGGTCATACACACAAATGCAAAATAAAAGTGCAAAGGGCGCATGAAATGAAGTGGAGACGCAAAACGACACTCCGACAAACCTGGCAAGTGAGGAGGTTCATCTACGCGATAAGTTTCAACACTATTCGCCCATTCATCTCTATCAGTAATGTAAGATCCAGATGTTGTAGTTGACATGGTGCTTAAGATCGGTTTGAAAGTCGTAGAGAGCCACTGGAATATCTCCAACATGGCTGTCTGAGTTGGAGTAACTTTTTCTGCCTCCGTGGTTAGTGGTGAAATTGTGGAGGTAGTAAAAGGATTATCGTTCGGCCACGCATCTTTGGACTCCCGAACAAAACCCATGCCGTTATCGTAACCTACAGTGCTTTTTAAGGTTTCGATTAGTTTTGATTTAGGGGCAAAACCGCCCATGTTATAATATGGTGAAGGAGTAGTCGCTGAAAATTAGTCCAAAAACTTACTTTAATGTACACGAACATGCAAAAAACCTTTTTCAAGTGGACATCGTGTTATTTTATTAGCATATTTTTTTCTTAGATTGTGTTAATAAATACTAACTTGTGCTAGCAGTCGTTGTGGGTTCAGTTGTGCTTGAAGTTACGACATTCAGAATTTGTTCGCCGGCATTTTTGGCAGTAGTTAGTACTGTGGAAGCGACAGTAGTCGCTACGGTAGTAGCAGCTCCGAAAACTTTACCAGAATGCCTCAGAGTATGTTTACGAATGACCTCTGAAGATACAAAGACAGGGATCTAATTAGGTGTATATTAGACATGCATTACATACTTGATTAAGTGCATTGATAAATGAAATAACAAAAACGAAGATTTAGTGTTCTTACTTCCGAGTGCGCCTTCGCCAGGAAGACCAAGAGGATTCTTTACGTGGTAATCAGTAATTTCCTTTAACGATTCTAGTACTAACGTTCTAATCCATACGCAGATATTAGTAGCAACCACGTGCATCAAACCAAATCTGGCGATTACTTTGAATCGATGAATGTTCAGCTGAAAATAGATAAAATAATTAAATTTACTAATTATAAAAGAAAACTATGAATGATACAAATACGTCAATGTTGATTTAAATGACTTTTGACTTACCCGTGAATTCATGAAGATAAAATACATTTGCATAAATGTAAATACCATCTGTAATACAGGATTGATGCCTTTCAAGATGAGATAACAAGGTGATTCTAATGGAAGCTCAAAGAAAGTTCCAAACTCCAAACCGTTGTAGATCATTGTACCAAGCCCAAATGCTGTAAGAAAAATTTAATATTTTAAAAATATCATTTGGGATTAAATAAGGCCGCATATTAGTGAAAACTTACCAATTGCACCAATTCTCAAGAAGAAACTGCCATGACTGTGGTCATTCTGTGAAGTTTTGCGTCGCCTAACAGGTCTTGCAACTGGGCCTGCTTCCAACTCCACCACATCTTGTTGTTGCTATTGAAAAATTTAATGTACAAAATTCAATTTTCACACTTCAGTCAGTTTAAATCCTTTTGCTAGAAAGCTCTAAAAGGTGAATTTGATTTGACTTCTGTGACTTGTATGTACTAAAAAAGGGGGTTAAATTATCCAACAACGAAAGGGACACAAATATAAAACATTAGTATGTCTATATTATTTCATGATAAAACTCTCTGTTAATTGGTTTTGTCTTCAGAATTTAATGAAATACTATTTCTACGAGCCTAACAAAAGCCTGAAAACATATTTCAGTGAAGTGTTTACTTACACACAAGCCCAATCTGAAGAAGCGAAGTGGTACATAGCAGAAAACAACACAAGCATATACATGATAACACCAAAGACGTGAACTACAAACAGCACATCCAAAGCTTTCTGGAAAATATGATACACGTAATGATCAAGCGAGATGCGTCAATTTATACCTCACCTGTTCGGTCGCATATAATTGCGCCATTTGTATTTGCAATTGTTGTTGACGAACTTTATCACGCATCTTACGGGGATACACCTCCTGCCCAAATGATATAGAAAAAACAAAAAAGTAGGCGGCGAAAAACAAAAAGGGGATCATGCGGCATGTAGAGTCCTGGTGAAGCTTTTAAATTTAATAAAAAAATGGTGACAGCTATACGTAACGAGCGTGTGACAAAAATGGTTGTTTGAATAAAATCAAATTAACAAAATCACAATGATGCTAATTAAGAAAAAGATTGGTTAACTAACACAGGACGACACGTGAAGCGAAAAAAGTGTGTGAGAGAGATTATGTTAAATACATGTGTTGGATGTGCTGTAATCCATTGTTAAGCAGATACGATGTTTCACGCACCTGAAACTGACTCTGTTTTTTGGATTCTTTGGTTGGTTTTTCTTTCGGTGCGTCCTTTTCTTTGTCCTTGTCCTTTTTCTTGCCATCCTTCTTGGCATCCTTCTTGTTGTCCTTTCCTTCCTTGCCATCTTTACCTTCCTTTGATTCTTTATCTTTGGTTTTCTTTTCCTTTTCCTTCTTAGGCTTCTTTTCTTTCGGCGGCGGTTTCGGCTTTGGTGGGCTGCCGCTGCAGCACGCACTCTCTGTAATTTACGCATTTTGTCATTTGCAAGAGTTTCATTAAATTTACACCTTCACATTTATTTTTTGTGCATGTAAGACGACCCCCGTGGCCGAGTGGTTTGTACCCCGAGTTTCATGGTGTCGCCGACTCGAGAGGTCCTGGGTTCGAATCCCGGTGGGGGCAGATGTTTGTGTGATGAATACGAGCATTTGTACTCCAGTCATGGATGTTTAATATGTATTTTTATGTAAGTATACTTATATACGTATGGTATATGTATTCTATCCGTTACCCTAGCTTCCCAAAACACAAGCCTTGCCGTGCTTACTTTGGGGCTAGGATAATTGGTGGGTAAAAAAAAAGATGCATATCCTTCTTGAAATTATTTTACCTTCACCTTAAGTTACTTAGTGAGTAAGTGGCTCAACAATACTGTTTTGTAGTGTTGTCTTTCTGAAGTAAGTAAGTTTGCCAGAGCTCCTTAGAATAAGGGGTTCATTTAAGACAGGGTGGATGTGACTGTTACTTCCCTAACCCCTACCTAACATGCACGTTGGGTTATAAATATACTATATTACGTTTTAAAACGCGTGATAGCGCAGCTAGGATCAACGTCTGTGATGCCGAAGAGTTCCTGATAATTTCGATGATGCATATTTCCTTTAATATTTAAATGTCCCTATTGTAAGATTCTAAATAAAAAATTATTGCTGATATGATAAAGTTTATACTGACCTTGAAGCAGAAAGCAGAAGACGTATAACAAGAACAATATGCTCATGCCATACAGGTACGTGAAGAAGCCTTCGTAGTAGTACAGGGGTAAGTTGTGTGTGATCACATCACTGATGACGTAAGCAATGCACACCACCACCAAAAGTTTGGCGTAAATGAAGCTGGATATGATGAACAGCGACGTTCTGTAAAACAATTATTAAAGCATATACTTAATAAAAATCAAATAACAAAAAATTACTTTTCTTGTCGAACAGACTTGATCACGATTAAAAGTTCTATTAGTTTTATATTCATCTGTTTTGGTCTACCAATTTTATTTTTAACGTAAAAAAATTAGATGAACCAGCAAATAGCCCGTCTACCATCGTAAGCGACTACATATTAGATGCTTGCGATGCTGTTAAAATACTGATTTTACAACTAATTCAACCACAGAAATCAGAGATATAAATTAAAATTGTCGTTAAAGCTCACGCTGCCACACTCTTCATCACAATCATTAGCCTATTAATGTCTCCTGGGGCACAGGTCTTCTGTACAGATGTATTAAGTAGAATGATCCAACACGTGGGCAAACAGTAAATTGGTAGGTGCTAACGATCAACGAGGAGCTCGATGGCGCGGGTGGTTAGCGCGTTCGGCTGCGATCGTTGAAGTTAAGCAACTTTCACAGTGGTCGGTCATTGTATGGGTGACCAAAAATCTTCTATCTTGAATTCCTCCATGCTTCGGAAAGCACGTTAAGCCGTTGGTCCCGGCTGCATCTGCAGTTGTTAGCACCCGCCAATCCGCACTGGGCCCGCGTTGTGGGTCATGGCCCAATCTCCCAATTCCATCCATTGGGAAGGCCTGTGCCCCAGAGGTGGCGACATTATTAGGCTGATGATGATGATGATGAACGACCAACACAGTTTAACAAGTCGAACGGAGGACCTTGAGACGGTAAATTTTTGATCACCCATCCGATAACCAGCCGCTATGAAAGTTGTTTAACTTCCACGATCGCAGAGAAAACACGTTAACGATATCATCATCAATCTTCTCGTCACTTTGACATGAAGTAAAGTGATTTAACATTTCTGAATGCGGCCGTAAGAGAGGTAGCAGATTTTCCGCTTAAATTCAGTTAGAGAGGTATTTATTTTATTTTTTTAATCAAATTACAACGGTACCATTTACGCCAAGAAGTAAAAAGTAAAAAATACATAAAACTATAATTATAATATAATATAATATATATAGTTAATCACACACTTAACGATCCACATTCATTCTTCTCGTAAAACAATCTTTTAAGCAGTAATAACTGTATCCAATAATTTATTTATTTACTTTTTATTGTAATTCAATAAATGGCGGACTTGATAGCATAGGGCATTTTCTACTAGTCAACCATCAGACTAAGCGGAAAAATTACGACGGTAAAGCAAAAAGGCAGATGAAAGGGGAAAAAGTAATTGTGATTCTATCATTTCTGCAGTGAAGAAATTTGCGAATATTCCAGGGATAGGAAAATACGATTTCGGCCGCAAAGTTGACATGGTGAGAAAGAGTGACTAGTGGGTGACGCACATATCTTTAACTTATCAGCTTAAGCATCAAATGGGGTGGAGCTATTTGATATGCCATGAATAAAGACATTGCATTATACGTTATTAATAATTGAATTTTAAACCAATAAAAATACTGTCGCACTTTGCTCTGAACGCCCCTGGCTGTATTAAATAGCAGCCTCGAGTACTGGCAGAATGTTATTAAACACGTTACAATTTGAATAACAAAGAGAAAAATTGTAAAATAATTAATTTAAAAATATATATATATAAATTTAAAAATACTTGTGAAATTTCGCAACAGAATCAATTACGGATACAGAACCGAAACGATGGCTTACAATTTCCGCAATATGTAGGAAGCTGCATGGTTTCTACAAATATACATTATATAAAGCTCTCCGATTAAGTAGCTTCAGTCACATTGATTCTATATTCTATATTTGGTTAGTAACAGTGGTCAATCATAATAAAAATTGCAAAAGTGGTGTCATAAGAAATATCTTCTTATGACACTGATTTTGCAATTTTGCATTCTTTTTTTTCATTCTTCATTCCTTTTTTTTCGCATTCTGATTTATTAATAAGAAACCTTCTTGGTGGCATTGATAAGATTACCTACGTTTTATCTTTTTATTAACTCATCAAATAAATATTTTTTTTTATTGTAATAGTTATTTATGATATAAGTGCGGTAAGTTGTTTATTATACTGTCGGTCACGAGTTTGTAAATATCAATTCCACACGAATTGCATACAACGTTTTGCGAAAAAACAGTAACTATACCTAATAAATGTAATGAAGTAAACTTTTTCTAATAAGAAAATGGCGGTGCGATAAAACTTTTTCCGCACGCTCCGTTGTATGGCCCGTAATTTTGAACTTTTGAATACAACCTCCGTGAAAATATTTTTTGAGGAAATGTGTTAAAGAGCTATTTTAAGTATAGTGCAAGATTTAGTAAGTTTCGATATTGTTTATCAGTTTCGTTTTATATTTAGAACAAAGGAGTTTCTAAGTTTAAATTTTTAAGTTCGTAAGTTTTTTTTTTCGAAATGTAGACATACTTTTTCGACGGCTTCGGCTGCACACACTTCAGCTCCATCTCTTTGTTTGCGGTATTGTGCTTTTCCGCAATGGCTATGTCGCTGCCCTGCTGTCGGTGCTGGCCCACCGGCAGGGTCGCCATGTTGTCCACCGACTCCAACTCCACAGTGGCCACCTTCACCTCAGCCTCTGTGGGCTGGTGCTTCTCTTTACCCATGTTTACACTCACTTCAAACACCCATAACTAGCCGAATACCAAGGACAAAGTTGCACTTTTTGCAGATAAACTAGGGAAGTCTTAGAGCCGGTCTTACCACCGGATAGATTGCGGCCGAGTTGCGCAGTGAGGGATGCTGCGCGACGAGTAGGGGCGGCACAGACGACCCTCCGAAATGAGTGATTTCGGAGGGTGCCGTATATTCCACTTAATTGCATGAGGGTCGTACTTTTTGTATCGAGCAACTGGGGAATTAGATAATAACTGCATTTCGAATCAAGACCTTAGAGAATTCGATTCTTATGATCATAAATACCAAAAATAAAAAAAACTCTTTTTTTTGATTACTTGCGAATAAAAGACGATCTTATCAGAGCATCCCGAAAAAACTTTTACATCATTTACAAGTTCACGAATAAGTAAATGTAAAAGCCTGTCATCTAGAACTACTACATTAATTATGACACATTATTTTTAACAAAACGATTTCCTACAAAATTTTTAATCTTAGGGTTTTTCGTGGCAACGTGATTTGATTCATATACCGATGAAATTTTGAGATTATTATGGATTAGCCTATAATAAGACTGGTATTTGTAGTATATTCAATGTTAGGCCTTAACTAAAGAACGTATTATTTATCATAAAATTATATAAAAAAATACTAGTAAGTTATCAAAGATATTAGCGATCACAACTACTTATTACTTTTTAAAGAATCCAAAAACCAGCTTTTAGTTTTGAATTTAAAAAAAGGAACACCGGAAGTGTTCACCAGAAAACGAAATTTCGACAGCCCTACTACCAAATGTTGGCGACACGCGGTCGATAGAGGAGCGTCTCTCCCGGAGAGCTTTTTGAGGCTGCGCGAGCGACCCACTGACCCGGCCCAGCCTCACCCAACAACACCAACAAAGACATGACAATTCTGATACTGATTGCACACACAATGCAAATTATGGATCAGTGACAATACACCAATCACCCAAGGCTGAATATAACATTTGTTCTGCGTCATAAAAAAAGTTGACGTTACCTTGAAAAGAGAGTCTGTTTACGAAATCTAGTTCATCCAAAGCGCATGCTCGGTAGTTTTCTGCGTAGTATTGAATGTCCTTGAACTGATAATGGTAAATTGCTTATTAGTTGTTAAAAACATAATCAGAATCTGTTATTACCAATAAAAACGAAGCTTGGTAATTTTAATTAATTATGACGTAATTTTAACAGAGTTTGGAAGTAACGTCTGCCTTGACGAAGGCCCAAGGAAAATAATTGGTTTTGCGTTTCGTTTCTAAGTAAGGTACTAGGGCTTCACGGGGTAGGTAGGGGATGGAATCAAGCTAGGCAACACGTAAATGATACGTACTCTGGTATCACAGTTATTGCAAATATCTTTAAGCTTATTGTTGACCACTTACTGGATACCAGCCCATTGGCAACAATAGTTACCGAAGATACCCGTTTTTGTGTCAAAAAGTGGCAAGGGTGGTATTGTCCACCTAATGGCAAGCGTACAATTTGGTGACTAATTTCTTTGTCGTACTATCCGTAAATGGAATGCTCTGCCCGCTCACGTGTTCCCTCCCTCTTACAACCTGGGATCATTTAAAAGAAGCGTGAAGAAGTAACATGCAGGCCGGCAGTGTGAGGATGGCTGGTGTGGCAGGTAGAACTGCTGTATCAGCTATCTTCGCGTCTGGACTTCACCTTCACTTAAAATCAGGTGGGGTGGAGTCATTTGTCGGACCTCTATAAAAAAAAGCGACCACCATAGCGTATAGTCGCTAGCGATACCAAAAATATCACACGCACCGTTGCCTACCCTGACTCAGTCCCTTATAAACTCCGTGGAACCCTGGAACCTTACTCACCGACAGAAAAACAACACTACCAAAAGGTTGTGTTATTTTACTGTGATCTTAACTACCGTAAACTACCACCGGTTCCAAAATTGGGAGACCTTTCTGAGAAGAACCGGCGAAACAAACTCAGAGAGGCTGTTTATCTGCTTCTTATGTTATATTAATTTGCATAATTTAACATAAGAAGGAAATAGAAAGCCTATGTGGTATCGCTAGAGACTATATGCTATGGTGGCCCATAGCGTATAGTCTCTAGCGATACCAAAAATATCACTCGCACCGTTGCCTTCCCTGACTCAGTCCCTTATTAACCCCGTGGAACTCTGGAACCTTACTCACCGACAGAAAAACAACACTACCAAAAGGTTGTGTTATTTTACTGTGATCTGAACTTCCGTAAACTACCACCGGTTCCAAAATTGGGAGACCATTCTGAGAAGAACCGGCGAAACAAACTCAGAGAGGCTTTTTATCTCCTTCTTATGTTAAAATTCTTATG